AAGCAGCATAAAATCAGATAAAACTATTCTACTCTACACTTCAGTATTAATCAGTTTTCATTCAAACAAAATTTAGAGAATTAAATGAACAAAAGGAGCTTGAATGCTGAGGCCAGTGACATAAGATGCTGTGGCACTAGATGTTCGTGTATCACATTAAAGCTATCTGACCCACTTTCTTCAGTGTTTCCACCACTTTGCTTTCGTCCTGTTGTATGTTGTTGGAATGGCTGTGACGATCATGTTTTATTGTGGCACCAAAATGAAAAACCTGGTGCACAAGCCCTGGTTTTTCATCTACTGAAGGTGTGGATGCTAATGCTTTGCATTCTCGTCTTTTCCGAGACAGGTGGAAACTTTCAAGTGGCTCATTTGGTGGTCCTATTGTTGGCAGCTACACTACAGCTAGTAGTAGCCAGTCTAATTTTCTCCTGAAACTTCATAGCAACCAAATTACTTTTAAAAACTGGCTTTCAACGAAGAAGGATTTGATTGTCTTCTGTCAGCCGTCTTAGTTTATGTCTCTGGTGTCTCTTATGTGCCCACCATAAACTGCTCATAAACTCCAGATTACTGCTTTTTGTGTTACTTAACAGTGTTATTACCAATAAATAACTGATTTTTAACATTTTTTTTAAAATTGGTTTGGCATCATTAAATGTCCGCATCACAATGCATTGAAAAACAGACCACACATCCCAACCATTTATTAGTTAGTCGCATTGTGCAGACGTTCCTGAAATCAAGAGTGCACCAGTTCAACTGGTCCCTCCCCCAGTTCTTTTAGATGTTTTTGTCTTTACACACTGTAGAAAGCACTGCAAGTAAAACAACAATCTATCTGTATATGGCTTGCATGAGGTTTGCTGCAACACTAACAATGAAGAATACCACAAGACCACAGGGTGACTAATCTGTTAAATCATCTTAATACCTGTAAATAACTAGACGTATCTATTTTTTCCACTTGTTGGTTCTCTGACATAAACATGCAAACAACTTCCTGTCATACAAAATAAGACAAATTTCTAAAGTGGATGAAATGTAAATAATGGCGGAACAGAAAGAAGTTCACGTCAAAGGGAGGAAAAACAACACCTAAACTTATACCAAAATTCAACCAAAGAAAGTAACTAGGGGTGGGAATCTTTTACAATGTCACGATTTGATTATATATATATTATATACTGTATATATACAGTATATCGACTTTGGGACATTTTAAATCGAATCTGAATCTTTGTAAATGAGAATCAAGATTCCGGTTTAAAATTATTTTTTTGGTGCACCCCTAAAAGTAACATGCACTCAGTCATTCCATGTCAGGACATGGACATAAAAACATGACCACATCATAGGACGATAACACGCTGCAGCCGTCCTCTGCAGAAGTTTCAGAATGTTAGCTTGTTGGTCAGGTCGAAGCCTAATAGATCTTATGTTCAGTGACTGATCACTTTGTGCTGTAGCCAAACTGTCTATAAGTTTTGTCCATTTACAATCTGAAAAAAATGTTTGTTGGAAGCGGAGCTATGCTAACGTTGGCTAATTACCGGTAAGTGTTTCATATTAAATCACTGAATTATATAGATATTCTGTCCTGCCTTGTCTTCTCCAGTTTTTTTTTTTTTTTTTTTTTTTGAGGGCACTGAAGCCTTGTAACGTTTGGACTGCCACATTAGGGATGGGCGATACATTATCATGTGCAATATATCTACTATATTTCCTACTATGTGGGGACCATTTTTGCCATACACCCATACTTGTGGGGACAAACTTGTACTTATGTGGGGTGTGTGTGTGTGTTTGCGTTTTGGGCTATACTTACTTGCAATACTGCAAATAAAAACAAGGCATTTACTGAGTTATTGTAAATTATGCTATTATTCATACTCATACTACAGTGTCTCTCATTCCAGAAAAAACAGCAAACAATTATAAGCTTTATAAAAGACATCATAGACACTATGGCAAGCAGCTGTCTGAAAGTATCCTTAACATGATGGTCCCTGACACGAGGCCTCCGTCAGTGGTTGAAGATAAAGACTTCACTACAATAGTCAGCACTTTCATTCCAGGTTTCACTCTTTCCTCACGGACATATTATACAAAGCTTATAAAGAGAAATTATGAAGAAACTTTCAAGAATATAGCATACATTTGTATATATTTTTGTTTTACATTTATTTATTTACTGAAGCTATTCAACAAACATTAATTTATTTATGTATTACTATTTAATATTACAGTATCAGAATACTACTACTACTACTACTACTACTACTACAACATTTATAAAGCACTTAAAGATATGATAAAAAAAACTGGCCTTCACTACTGGTGCAACCTGGGAGTCTAATTTAAAATCACTGTCCATTTTAAAACCCAGGTTACAAACTATGTGCTTTACATGAAGTGCCAGAGGGCCCAGACCTACAGGGGAAGGCTCCATCACTTCTGTTTTCTTCTCATTAAAATTTAAAAAGTTTAAAGACATCCATGCTTTGATGTCTTCAAGATACAGCAAAAGTGGCTTAATTGAGAGGGCATCTTTCTTTCTCAGTGTATATCTGACTATCATCAGCATAACAATGAAAATTGATCCCATGCTTCCCAATAAAATTAAAGAGAAGAGCAGGGGACCCAAGATAGTATCCTGTGGAACCCCAAAAGACCAAGAAGCAGTGGAGGATTCAGAAACAGCTGTATTAACACATATGATCTTAATCAGTTTAGCACAGTACCACAGATACCTACTTGGTGCTCTAGATGTAAAATCAAAATGTTGTGGTCCACTGTATCAAAGGCAGAATACACAAGAATACTCAAACAGCAACCTGTTTTATTTTTTTTTTTTTTGTGCAATTTGTTATGTCAGACTAAATTTTCTATTTTGGAAGAGGTCGATTAAAAATGTTTATTTTATTTGAAATTCATCAAATAATCAAAAATAGAGCAATTAATAAATTATGAAATTAATTGTTAACTGCATCCCTAATAACATTGTAAAAGAAATTTGACAAGAACCCCACCACATGCCAGCTGTGTGCAGGTTTTCACCCAGAGAGAGTAGAATAAAAAGCAGCCTTTGGCAGCTGTAGTTTACTTTTCAGGGACAAGAGAGTATTGATCTAGTGATTTCAAAAAAGCAAATAAATAAATAACTCAGAAAAGGAGAAGTGAATTACAAAGGCCACTGCAACTTTTACTCCAAAGGATTTGCATTTGTGGTTGAAAACCAGGGCTTATGTGCTTTGTTTCACAATTTGGAAGCACAAATAGGATCATCTTATGGCATCCTACGGGACCAAAAAGTTAGAAGAACAAGGATCAGATAGCTCTAATATGTAATACACATCCACTGCCACAGTATTTTACTGTATGCTAATGCACTCAGATTTTGACTCCTTGTGTAAATCTTGTATGTTTTATGCTCCAGTGTAGACATAATTTGTTTTATTTAGGTCTTAAGAGATTCTTTGATGAGGATTTGTTTGAAGTGGGACTCTGGATGCACTTAGATGCATCAATATTTTCGTATAATCACATCATTGTACTTGAAACATTAAGTGTGTTTCACCCTATCATAAAACTGTCTGAAGTGACAACAATTTAAGTCAATATGTTAATCAACAATTTTTAAATACCTTATGACTTGCATTATCAATAAATGTTGTAGCAATAAATAGATGAGTTAGTAATATTTTATGAGAAATAAACTTCTGCATGTCGAATATTTGTGATGAGCAACGTTCCAACTTTTCATGCTTTGTTGAGGAACTACATGTATAAATTTATGTGCCGTTTCAAACAACTTAACAGTAAAAGCTTTGTCAAATGCATCATATAGTGATACAAGATATACATCAAGATTTTATAAACGTTGTAAGAGCTGTTTGTATGAGTTTTGATGAATGTTTTATTTTATTTTATTTTTTACGTGTTTTATTATTTTTTTAATGTTGTGGACATTTGTTTTGTCTGAGATAACAATAATAAAGTAACATTAGCAGATTTAATAATTTGACTTTTATATAAAACTTCCTTTTAAAATAAAATGTCAACTAATATTAATTATGTAGTTAAGAGCACAGTCATGTTAAAAAGAGTAAAATGTTATAACAAATCAGGCAAAGATGTAAGTGAGTGTCTGAATTAAAGTGCCACCGCTTTTAGTGGAAGAAATAGTCTGGAGCAGTTGTAATTTTTTGTTAATTAATTGATAATTTTTCTCCCCATAATATCAAAAATGGCATAAAATATCAAAAATATTGTCTTGGCGTTAGTATTGAGTTAAAGAGTAATCATAACAATGTTACAGCTTAACCATTAGCATGTTAAAGTTGTAGGGACTTAAATATAACTTCCCCAATTAGGTGTGTTATTTCAGACTAGAAAAAAATACATATAATTACAAAAGTTATTTAACATTGGAGGGTAGTTTGATTACATGTTACAACGGTCTGCCATAAGCCGCATTCACAACAACCTGACAAAGCACAACTTATCTTAAAAAGTCCTTTTTCAAAAAGAGGCTTAGGGTAAATACCAGGTAATTAACACACCTCCCGGTGCTGACAGAGTCTGCCAGAATAGTGCGACAAATATCTCCGTGTAATGTTTGTTTTAGCCCGACATGTTCGCGCCCAAAACCACAGTTTACTTCGACACAGGAGAGAAGAAGTCGTGTGTTTGGGTGAACCTGCGCCGCATCTGTCTCTTCACAGCGGGGTGTCAAACACCTGGTAGTCAGAGCAGCCGAGAAACGCCTAAAATCCGTTCTTATCTGCGGCTGCATTGACTACGTGTCTGATTGTTAAAGCTGGCGGCCTCTGTCCGCACAAAGAGCCGGGCTCAATACACAGCAGACCCGGAGGAAACGAGCTGTCAGCGGGGCTTGCTCATGTCTGACATCCAGCTGCTTTAGCTTTCTAGTTAGCCCGACACCCCCGTTACTTCCTGCACTCGCAGTGAAATTTACAGAAATAAATGTTGCGTACCTTTGACGGGCCGTTCTACGGTGGAGAGTTTGTTTTGGTCTTTGGCCGACATCCTCCCTCCCTGTGGGCTGCGGGCAGAGAAGGACCTGAATTCCGAACCAAACTCGACAAAAAAAAAAAAAAATCCTAACTAGCTAGCAGACTAGCTTGGGTGAGCTAGCCGCGCTAGCTAGCGGTGTGGCTTGGAGCAGAGCGGGCAGGGCAACTAGACTTGGCTTCCACCAGGCTGAGCTGGAGTGAACCCTGACACGGGAAGGGAGAAAGGGAGGGAGGGAGGAGGTGTCTGTATCCAGCAAATTCAAGCCTTTCCAGCGCACAGTGCTCTGCGGTGCAGCCCAGCCGCTGTCACCTTCTCTGTGTCGGATGAATAGATGGTCCAGGAAGCGGCCAGAGCAGCGCCAATCACCGGCTCCAGTAGTTCCGCGCCGCGCCTCAGATCATATCCTAACTTTATCCTTTTATTCACGGACGAGCTGCATCTGTTACAGGCCGCTGCGCTTTGGTTTTTCTATCGTGATCCTATGTGTCGACCAGACTCTGTCGGATTACAATAATCCGCCGCAAGCGGATTTCCTAACATGGCTCAAACGCGGGGTCTTGTGGGTAATGTAGTACTGACGTGAGTGGCTGCTCCGAGCAAAGTGCATTCATAAAAGCAGGCACACTAACGAAGCTTCTGCATCGTTTTTTCTAACGCTATTTTAGTTTAAATAAATAAATAAATAAATAAATAAATAAATAAATAAATAAATAAATAAATAAATAAATAAATAAATAAATAAATAAAAGTAAAAGGGTTTTTGGAAAATGAGTTTTCTGAATAAATGCAATTGTTAAAAAAACAAATCCTCAATAAACACACGAAAAATGAACAAAATAAATGGCAAATTAGTTCATGTTGAAAAAATTAAATGTCACATGAAATATAGTTTAAACTTTTAAGCTGTTTTTTAAAAAAACATATACTGTGACGCGCCTAACCCAGTCTCACCAAGGGCTGTTCTTCATGGCCTCTGGGCAAGAGGAGCAGGAGCATCTGGAGCAGAAAAGCCAGACTGCAGTAACCTCCAACCCCATCTAACAACACACACACACACACACTTCACTCTGGACTGTACCTAATCTATACTTTATAAATGTGCAATATTTCATGCATATGCAATGCTCAGGTGCAACAGCACAGACGGGTGTACAATTTTTTTGTACACCCATCTTTATATTACTCTGACAAGTTGTCCCTGAATGAAGGTGACACTTTAGCCCTGCAGCAAACATCTTTCACTCGATTTAAGAAAATCTTGTCTCACCTCCTGTCCTCCCTTCTATCCGGGTCATGCATCAGCCTATCAGTAAGGAACATGTTTTTCTCCTTCTGTCATTCTCCATCTAATCACTATGAAAAGGTTTGAGATTTGATTTGATTTATTGATTCAACAGGAAAAGATTACTAAAAATTAAGCCTGACTCAGCATAATTGCTGTTTTACAGCAGGTTCCTATTCTGCAGCACATAAAACACTCAGAATTACAGCATCACAATCACATCATTATACACCATAGACACAAAGACAAACAAGCATACCAAAGGTCAGGAAGGCAGCATTTGCAAAATAGSACGTCTAAATATGAGCACAACAAAAAGTGTCCAGCAGATGGCAGACAAGATTCTTCTTAAAGGGCTGTAGTTTTGAAATGGACTTTATGTTTTGAGGAATGTCATTCCATGCTTTAGTATAAACATAGAAGAAAGACCTCTGGCCGTAACAGTTTTTAAAAGTTGGTAATRTCAGTTGTCCTTTTGTAACAGCACCTGGTTTATGTGAAAACAAGTTTTAATTTAAACATCAGTGTAAATATTAGTTATTTTCATGACCAAAATAAAAAAAGGCATTCTCTATGCCCCACATTTTAATAATCCTTATAAGCATATCATTCAATTTTATGTGCAAGAAACTTTCGTACTTTCCTGGGGCTGCAAATCATAACACAAAGACAAATACTTTGCCTTCACTACTTCTCACTGCCAGATTTAAGTAATTGTTAACCACCAAGGAAAACAGTTCAGTATCTATAATGAGCAACATGTCAATAGAAACCTTTTAGATAATTTTAACCAAACATGTTTATTCAATCTGAAAATCTCTAAAGCCTGGAGCTCAGATTTTGTTTTTTTATGTCCATTTATATGACATAATCAAAAAATAGTGAACCCTGAGACTCAGTTGTCAGAGATTTTTAAATTTGTTATGCAATTTTTTCTTTATCTTGTGGCTGTGGATTTGAGCCCAGGTTGCATCAGGAAGGGCATCCTGTGTAAAACAACTATCAAACCTGCTGTGAGTTTGCTCGCTGTGGGAAAATAAAAAGCAACTGTACTAAATAATGACCTAAAATAACCAATCTGACATCTGGATGTGTCATAGTGAGTTTTGAAAGATGGCTTAAATTACAATTTCTGGTCAGTTTGTAGGCCGATTAAATATTGACAATGAGAAGGTGGGCCTATTCTATACTCATATACACAGGGTATGCTCTGAACAGGTCACCATCGGGGTATTTAAAGCAACAACTGAAGACAAGAAACATCTTTGAAATCATTTTACTGTAAAACACTGTTGTGATCCTGAAGTGCAAAATGTACAAAAAATAATCAAAAAGATAAACATTTGATAAAATGGTTTTCTTCTTTGCTGTTGGGGTCAGTCACTTTAGTTGAGTCTGCAGCTGATCAGATGTTGTTCTGTTCCTATAGTTGGATAAGAGCGCCCTCCTGTGGAATTTAATTACATTACAAAAACAAAACTCCTTTAGGAGGACTCCTGTTAATTTGGAGTGAATCAAATGATCCACATGGGCCTCGTGAACCACTGACTCATATTTCACAAAATGTCCCATTGACTGAGCACATCAGCACTCTTCAAGGCATTTTTACAAGAGGCCTTAAACCTTGGTTTGGGCCAGCTGACAGCTTGAGTTCTCTGAGTCAGTTTAGCATACAGAATTAATTTTACAGCTCTGTCACCATCGAATCTGCAAACATGGCCGAACCAGCACAGTCAGCTTCCATCAGTCTGTTCAACTGCTTCAACACATGCACAGATACTGGTACACAATGATCTGAAAAACTGTCAACACGCATACATAACTAAATTTAAAAAATGCAACTATCATGTTTACCATATCACATTTTATGTCATCTTAAGGCCCTGTTACACTATGTTTTAGACAATTTATGACATTATGTTTTAGACAATTTATGCTTACTTGTGAAAATCTTATAACTAATTTACCACTTTAGGTTATCTAATTACAGTATTACATCCTAAATTTATTTGATTCCATCTTCAGTGTTGGACAGAATTTTCACAATTTGTCATAAGTTGCCTGAAACATTTTAATGTGCAGGTCTTTAGATACAGTATGAGCTTTAATTAAACAGCACCTGGTGGAGGATTACTTGATGTGTTTTTGATAAATCTTTAAAATTAAATTTCTTTAAAAGCTTACATCTAACATTCTTTTCACCTTTGCTTGGGAGCTCAGAATATTGCTTGTTACTGACAGACTGTGGGAGAAAACACTAACATGATTTACTATGTATGAAGTATCCTGATGCATCTCAGTAATCCAGGTAAAAAATCAAAAATAAAAAAATTGTATAGGTCTTCTGGACGGGTTCTTCTCTAATGAAACGTTTCGTCTCTCCTCCAAGAGACTTCTTCAGTCTGAGAGTTTCAGGCAAAATTCGGAATAACAACAACAATAGACCCCAAACCCAGACCCAAACCAGTGGTTATTCCGTATGTTGCGGGTGTTTCGGAGAAACTGAGACGTTTATTT